TTGCAATATACGTTTTTGCTGCCTGTTGCAGCGCTCTAGCGCTGCACGGCAAAAACGCATAAAAATTGAGCACCGCGCATAGGTTGGGGAAATGACCCAGAAGTTTCAGATTCCTATCTTCTCTGGTTGTTGTACAGGAAGTATTTGACAAAAATGCGAATACACAAACACACACAGACAACATCTCGACAATTTGCGGTTGCATAAACATGCAAAAACACATAAAAACCGATAGAAAACAAATTATGTGTCAATTTACAGGTTATCAGTTGGCAGTTTCTCAACGAGTCGTTGGCAACAAGCAATCTCAGACACCGGGACATCGTGGCTTATTATGCCGCGATCTACATTTTACCAGGTCGCTGATGAAGTGGGAGCGGAATACAACCCGTACAGTGGGCTTTATGAATTTGACTGCTCGGTTCTGGAAAGCGACCGATTGCCATCTCTAGAATTCACCATCGGTGGCAAGCAATACCTCGTCACTTCGCACAACTATGTTCTTAAGGTATTTAGATCAAGCGCTTAACCGTGCATTAAAGGATTTCAAGATTAATAAAGAGTCACTTGTTATAAGAACTGTTCAGTCATTCATAAAAATTTTTCTTATACTTCCTACTTTATTCAGAAGTACCTGTTGGCCGGAGTGTGCACAGTTCAAAATTTCGGTAGTTTGATTCATTCGTTAGAAAATACAAAATTTGAAAGACGAAGTTTGTTTTGTAACACTAAGCAATGATATACAATAAGAGAGCAATCCCTGGGCGACTGAGTTGCTCACAGTTTCACGCGGAGCATTAGCAGTCGGGTTAAAGACGAACAGCTTACTCATATCAAATCCTATATATTGGAGCTTTTGTCAGTAAGTTGTCAGTAATTAGTTAGTATGTTTCAGTTGAGTTTTGGAAATGATCAGTATTCATGTGTTTTTGGCGCCACACCTATGGATGCGAGCGGCTTTGGACCATCTTTAATTCTCGGCGATGTATTTATCCGTTCCTTTTGCAACGTATACGATGTGGGCCATAACAGAATTGGCTTTGCCGACCTGAAAGTTAATTAGTGATCATTGCATGGGTGAAAGCTCATAAAAGAAATTTGATATTTTTAGAAATAAAACTGGGAATGTCGAATATCGAAATATTTTTATTCACTGTACCTGCGCTATAAAACAATGTAGTGACACCAGAACTCAACTCAATCATGCACTTTTGCGCGAAACTTGAAGCAGTCAGACCGTTAACAGCATGAATGGTTCCTACCATGCAGTTTAGCAGTTGACTCGTGCTGGCTATGTTTTGGTGTTTTTTGTACGCAGGAGAAAAGACGTCGGTTAAGATAATAGTGTTACATTAGGGGGCCACGTGAACCGCCAGCGTGCTTGATAATCGATTTTGCACGAAGAGAATTGAATAGTTTCCGCTGGCCCGGTTACTCATCGAAAAATGTAAAGTTGATAGTGAGCAAGGGTGTCGAGAGAGAAGGATTACGAAAGCAGCAAAATGCACTCGCTCTTGAGCTTACGATAAAATTCAAGGTTTGTTTGCCATGTGTGTAGGAAATTTTGCCATAAAGCTGGATTTAGACTATTAGAATATCCTCGCAAAGTTTTAGCCTCACAGCTTGTTCGGAAAACAAAATCGTCATTTCGCTACAAATATCTTTGATGCGATCTAAGACGTGACGCAAATGCAAACCGAAACTCGATTTAGGCACACGATTTCCAAGATAGAAAACAAATGTCTTGGCAAGATTGAAGCTATTGTCTTCTAGCTAGTTTTCGAGTTTACGGGGTGCCGGATTGCGAAATTTGACGTGGCCGTACAAAAGACATAAGCATGCGCGATAGCTGAATCTGAAATCTTTCTTTGCAGAATCTCAGCTTCCTACGTTTACCGTTTCCTGAAACTATTTTTCACATCAAGAAACTTGCGCATTTTTTTAAGGAGTCCATACTTGATATCTAGACGCGCAAGAGCGATGATTTTAAAAC